GTCTCATGGTCATATAGGTTGAGAATCGCTTGGTCTGCTAGCCCCTTGGGCTAATTGTTTCCATGTGTCTTTGGTTTTTTTCAGTCTTTTTTGCTCTGGATGAGGAGAGACCCATTGTTGCATCTAGATGGCCACTTGCAAACTTTTAAAATCCAGTCTCTATTCACCAAAGTTTCACTTCTTTTGAAATAATAATTTATTTTGTTATTGTTGTTGAGAAAATATATTGCAGAGCATAGACCAATTCAATAGTTTTTACATGTACAGTTCAATGATATTGATTCCATTCTTTGAACTGTATAGCATTATCACCCTCCTTTTCTGAGTTATACCTCCTCCATTAACATAAACTTACTGCCCCTAAGTTTCCTATCTAATCTTTTGAGTTGCTTTTGTTGTCTACTTTCTTGATGTTATCCTTTGATTGACAAATGTTTTTAATTTTGATGTAATCTGTCTGCTTTTTTATCACTTGTGCTTTTAGTGCTATGTCTAAGAAACCATTGCCTGACCTGATTTGCTTTGTGATAAAGTAGAAGTTAAAAACTTATAAGCATGTTATGGTTTTAGTTCTTATATTTAGGTCTTTGATCATTTTGAGTGTATAATATGAGATAATGTGTCCAACTTCATTCTTTTGCATGTGCATATCCACATCTCAGCATCGGTTGTAAAGGCTTTTCTTTCCTCATTGAATTGTCTTGACCCCTATTTAATAGACATTCTTTTAAACCAAAAATCAAAGTGCTTGGACTTTTTGGACAACTCAAGGCTTTCATGGAAGTGTTTGAACATTTGTAACAACAACAACAAAAACCCAGACTCACTGCTGTTGAGTCAATTCTGACTCATAACAACCCCTCCTTGGGTTTCTGAGGTGGTATTTCTACAGTAGTAGATTGTCCAGTCTTCCTTTTGAGGAGTGGCCAGTGGGTTTGAACCTGCAGCCTTCTGGTTAGCAGTCAAATGCCTTAGGCACTACACTATCAGAGCTCCTGAAAACTGCCTTTATATTAAAGAAGTCTCTAATTGGGTTTTAAGATTGATATGTTGGTGTTGTTGATAGACCATCAGTTTTCCTTTGACTGAGTCTAATACCTTTTCAGTCGGGGCCGACTCAATGGCACATAACAACAACAACAACAACAATAATACCTTTTCACATTACATAGGAGAGAAAGATGAAGAATAGTCTGCTCTTTAAGAAAGACTGATATGTAAGTATATGAGAGTCTGTCAGTTCTGGGGGTTTTCCTGGCCATCCCTGGATAGAGGCAGATAGGATATTGAGCACCTGTTGCAGGAAATTTCACAGGAGTTCTAACAGAAGCTTGAAGATGGCTGGGTCTCCTGGGAATTGTGCTGGGCAACAATAAACTGTCAGACTCAGTGACTGCAAATAGCTTAATATATCATGGTTTATTTACAGTATCAGATTGAAAGGGCCCATTTGGCAAAAACAAATGAAAGGAGCAGTTTTGTGGTTGTCGTTGCAGGTAATGGAGGTGGTACAGTTTTGTTCTAAGAAGAGAAGCCCAACTCAGAGACAGTGACAGTGTTTTAGGCTGCCTAGATAATAGTGACATTAGAGAAAAAAATGAATATTTCCTTTGGAACTGAATAATAAAACTAATTAGTATTGAAATCAGTATTTTTGCCATCAGTGTTAGGGCTTGTTTCTTGGAGGCAGGGAGAACTACTGAAGTAACTTAAAACCTGGTTAAAGAAAACTCAGGAGTTAAAATTGCATTTTATACCTGTAAAAATGGTGTGGTGTCAGTGTCTGCCCTCCTTTCTCTTCACGAGGAGGGGGAATCACAATCACCAGCCCAAGGCTGATTCTTGTGAAGCACAAGTCAGACACACCTCCTTTCTCCAACCTTTTCACCAGTTCTGACATGAGTTGTCCCTCTCATGGCCCTGTCTACTCCTCTGCTGAGTGAGTAATTCATTTCATTGGCCACATAGAACTCACAGGGATTATGGAGTTTATTAGGGAAGTAACAGGTTACATTTCAGAATCAGGAACGGTCTTACTCAGCTGAGCCTGCAGGTAGGCCTCTCTCTGTCCCTGTCTCTCAGCCTCTAAGCCCAGCCTCTAAGCCCTGCCTCTCTCTGGCCTCAGCCCTGTTTAGGCAAGTGTTTCAAAGGTCTTTAGCTCCACTGATAAGTGCCCAGAGGCACCCTGGTTCACCAGCAAGCTTCCTCCCTGAAAGCACACAGATCTTTTACTCCCTCTATTGTAGAGCCTGGGAGCTCTGGTAGCGTAGTGCCTAAGGCACCTGACTGCTAACCAGAAGGCTGGCGGTTCAAACCCACCAGCCACTCCTCGGAAGGAAGATGGGGCAATCTACTTCCGTAGTGATACTACCTCGGAAACCCAAGGAGGGGTCGCTATGAGTTGGGTCCGACTCGACGGCACATAACAACAACAACAACAACATTGTAGAGCCTAGCTCCATCAAGTAAGTACTTGGAGACACATTCTGCCTAAAGTGCTCAGCTTTCAGCTTTCTTGCACCACAGGCCAACAAGCCCACTTTACTGTCTTCTTCTGGTCTCCCGGTTCTGCTGCTGCTGTTTGTCTGCTGCTACTTCTTGCCATTTCTAACTATCTGTGTTGTTAGAACTCTGTTGTTTCCTGGGTCTAGGAGGGTCTCAACAGATTGAAACTGGATCCAAAGGACATGGTCTAGTCCTAGCTCTTCTTGGTAGTGAAGTCCCCCCCTCCGCCCTATGATTGGCTCTCTTTTAAGCCTACTAGGATGGCAAAACTGACCAGTCTACTCGTTAGGGTTCCATATACCTTATTTGCATTGTCCCACCCCTACAAGGGTGCCATGCTTCTCCTTGCTTGTATTATTAGCAAGCTGTCCAATCCCCTTGGTGGGCCACAAGTACCTTATTTGCATAGTCCCACTCAGTTATTTGGTGATAGTTACAAGACCATGGCTAGAAAAGCCATATAAAAGTGATCCATTGTACTGTGATACCTATATCCAAATCTCATTGCTTGTTCATGTTTAAAAAGCAGGGTTTTGTTTGTTTGTTCGTTCCTTTACTGCCCTGTCTTCTCCAGCAGTAGAAAAAGCCAGAGGAGAGAGGCTCAAAGCCTGTTGCTCAGTACCTCTTAGGATTAGTCTGATCATATTTGGCTCAGGGAGAAAGACACTTATAAATTATATAACAGATGTTCTTAAGTATCCTTGATTTCTGGGTCTGTTTTGCATGTTTCGGAGCTTGGATTTTTTTCAAGGACTTGGGATGTAATTCTAACTTTACAGCTGTGGTCCTTGGTCTGAGGCAGATTCACGAGTACCAGAGTGTACTAGTCCAGCAAGCACCTGTTTCAGATGACATCCTCCTCCCCTCTGAACCGGGGAAGAAAGGTGGCTGTGTCCTCAGTGCCTCGTACTGAAACAGGCCCTCTTTGTTTAGCAGAGCCATCACCTTCTGTACAGGTGTGGCTTTGTTTCTCATTTTCAGACAGTCCTCAGCCAGAGCATCTCTTATTTTCTTTTTGTCTTACATATCCCAGTCCTCAGTGCCTCGTACTGAGACAGGCCCTCTTTGTTTAGCAGAGCCATCACCTTCTGTACAGGTGTGGCTTTGTTTCTTATTTTCAGACAGTCCTCAGCCAGAGCATCTCTTATTTTCTTTTTGTCTTACATATCCCAGACATGGACAGTACCCTTTTTTTGGTGAACTTAGCTTCATACCTCTTCAGTGGCCTTTGTTCATTTACCCAAGGCTGAGGCTCTCCTAACCCCTTATATTGTGACCTCAGGTTTGCCCTTGGAAAGGAACTTTGAGACTCTTAATTCTCCTCTTCTGAGAGAGGAAGCCATTGCATAGAGACCTGCTGGAGTCTTCAAAGTGCTTGCACATGGTATTGTGGATCCTCTGGGAACAGTCTAGCCAGTCCAAACCCTTTCATATCCTAGGGGCTACACAAACTTCTTTTATTAAACTTATTTTGATAGAGTTACGAATTAGATTTAGTAAAAGTATGACAATCGAGTACAATATTTGTTCAAATCAGAATAGTAGATATATTAACATTTCCCTCCTTCCACATATCCTGGATCCCCTTTCCTCTGCTCCCGCTTCTAGTCTATGCCTTTATGCTCTCTTGCCTCAGTCTCTTTAAATAATATTCTACTTTTAGCCCTTCCTGTCCTTCCTCTGCCAAAGGGTGGGCTGCTCCTTGAGGAGGGAGAACATGGACTTTGCAGCCAAGATGGGTGGCTGGTCTTGGAGCCCTGGCTCTGCTACTGATAGTCAAACTTAAAGTACTCATGTTTATTTATGCTTTTTTCTTCTCTGCTCAAGATCAAATAATTTGGGGGCAAGCAAAATGTTTTTCTAATTTCTCTGTATTTTCCAGAATACCATGAGTGTAGCAGGTGCTCACTAGTGTGTGGATAAATTAAAAAATGTTTTTCTCATTTTGAAATTAATCCTTAATTCTAGTTTGCATTTTTTAGAATTGTTTTATAAAATGTATAAACTTAAAGAATTTCCTACATTTACCATCTTTTAAAAAGTTACATCTTATCCCCCAAGCTGGATTTTAGACTACTAAATGCAGATCATAACTTCTGTGCTGAATATTCATCATCTTTTGTATCTAGTACAGTGCATTGTACATGGTACCCATTAAAATATTTGTTGGTTTTGGTTTGACTTAATCACTATTTTGCTGTGCTCTCTGTAACGTGAATTTAGGCACTGATGCAGATGGGACAGTGGTGCATATACATTTACAGATCAGATCTTTCTCCTAAATAATTAGCATCTGGCAAAGTCTTTCCAGTAATTTTATCTCCTAAAATTCTCCCTTTTTTCTTTTTTTGTACAGGCACTTGGGAGAGGCTTTGGACAAAAAAAAAAAAAAATGTTTCATTTAAGGACTTGTGCTGCTAGGGTGAGGCCTTTGACAGCTTCCCAGACTGTTAAGACATTTTCACGAAACAGACCAGCAGCTGCTAGGACTTTTCAACAAATTCGATGCTATACCGCACCTGTTGCCGCTGAGCCCTTCTTGAGTGGTACTAGTTCGAACTATGTGGAGGAAATGTACTATGCTTGGTTGGAAAACCCCAAAAGTGTGCATAAGGTAAGGCTTGCCAGGGCCCTGTTACCTCATATTTGCTGTGCTGTTCTGGATGCTTCTTGGCAGTTCAGGTAAGTGCATGTGTCTGAGGAGCTGGTGGAAGGAAGGCAGTGGGAAGCCCAGAACTGCCAAGTGCCTGCGCATCCAGTGAAGCTTAGCCGTCAAGACATCCCTAAGAGAAACAACATTCTCTGGAGGTACTTCCCTGGCTTGCTTGATGTCCAGTGAGCTCCAGGCTTCTGGTCCTTGGAGTAGATAAGTTTTACCCTGTGAAGATCCGAAGCAGCTCTTGTACCAGTTCCAGGATCTCACTAAGGGCTACTTTAGGATACAGACTTGGAAGAGACAAAAGCTTGTGGAAAAGAATGGATATTCACGAGGCCCTTATGTCCCAGCAGTCGTAAGAAGACACTTTTATGTCTTAAAGACCTTAAAATCATTTCATGTAATTTCTGTATAAATGACATTTTACATTATTATGTTCATGTTTTTTCTCCTATATTTGAAAGTAAACTCCTTGCAGGTTCCTTTCTAATTTCTCTATATTTCCTATAAGGACTCTTCCCTGTAAGGTCCTGTTTCTTCACACGTTTACTTAATGTAAGCCATGTCTAGTGACAGAATTTTTCTTGACATCTTTGCTATGAGTGAGTATAGATGTTAATAACAATGTCTTGATTTTCAAGCAGGTGTTAGAAGGCAGTATAGTGTGATAGGAGGGCAGATTTCACAGCTACTCACCTCTTCACCATGCTTCTAGAGCTGTTGGGAGAATTAAAAGAGACAGTGTATATAAGGTGCTCAGTGTTTGGCACAGAGAATGGGCACAACAGATGTCATCAATATTTTTTCTTTATTGTTTTGGTAATGGTCTACTTAACAGTTTAGGTTCCCATTTGAGAAGTTTCTGTTCACATCGTTCAATGACATTGGTTACATTCTCAACAATGTGTGAACATTCTCATTATTTCTGTTCTGGTTGTTCCATTTCTGTTAATCTAGTTTCCCTGCCCCTTTACGTTTTCATTTTTGTTTTAAAATAATTTTTGACCGTTTAGACACATAGATAATTTTTTAAAGGAGCAGAGTACTCTCACGGATGATACTCCTTATTTTGTGAGTTAATCTGTTATTTAGCTAAAAGTTGGCCTTAAGGGCTAGTTTTGGTTCAGTGTTTGAAGAATATCCCAGGACAGTTATCTCAAGGAGTCCTTCAGTCTCAACCTATCCAGTAAGTCTGGGTGTGTATTATTTTATTTTTCTAAAGGAATTTGAGCTTCCGTTCCACAATTTTATCCCATTCTATCAGGGTCTATTGGGCCCTGAATAGAACCGTTGGTGTGGTAGCCAGGGACTATTTTGTTCTAGTCTCAGGGTAGATGAGGCCATGGTTCATGTGTAAACTGCTTTCTTCTTTGAGTCTTTGGTTTCCTTCTTTCTCTTTTGCTCCAGAAAAGTAGAGACCAACAGTTGTATCTTAGATGGTTGCTTGCAAACTTTTAAGTACCCAAACACTTCTCACCAAACTAATGTAGAACATAAAAAACTTTGTGAACTACATGATGCAAGTTGAGTTGTCAGCACTATTAATCTGGCCATTTCCTTGCTTTGAATCTTGCAGTCTCTTCTCTAAAGGGCAGCTGTTTCCTTGGGCCCCTTTGAGTAAGCTTTGTCTTGAAGAATGGACATGTTTCTATGATTTATAGTAGCCACCACGTTTACCACAATGCAACAGCTCCCCACCTACTTCCTCCCCTTAGTTATCTCTTCCCTGTGTCCTTCCCTCCATGCACTTCTGCCTCCTGAGCATACACAGCCCTGCTATTCTTCCATGATTGTTCTCTCCAAGGAGTGTATCTGCCTAATGTAAACGTTCAGCTCATATGCCTTTTGTTTGACTGGAAGCCACAGGAGTGTGTTCAGTTCCAGACCTGAAGGGCAGCTAGGGGCCATAGTCTCAGTGGTTCCATCAAACTCTGTCAGACCAGCAAACCTGGTCCCTTTTTTTTTTTAAATAATGATTTTGAGTTTTGTTCCACATTGTTCTCCCACTCTATCCAGGATCTCCTACATAGATCTCCCTCTGAGTGGTTGACCGTGGTAGCTGGGTACCATCTAGTTCTTCTGGTCTCATAGTCATATAGGCTGAGGATGGCATGGTGTACCCGTTGCTAGGACTAATTGTTTCCATGAATCTTTGGTTTTCTTCATTCTTCTTTGCTATGGACAAGGAGAGGCCTATCGTTGAATCTAGAGGGCTGCTTGCAAACTTCTAAGATCCCAGAAGGCAGACCTTTTTTACTAGCTAAACTATTGTTTGGTTTTAAGATGACTTCAGGGGATATTTTTGGCTTAAAATTTAAAGTTTATCTCAGGGTAATAGTTTCAGGGGTTCATTCACCTCCATGGTTCCAGAAGGTCTAGAGTCTGTGAGAATTTGAAGTACTGTTCTGTATTTTTCTCCTTTTGATCAGGATTCTCCTATAGAATCTTCGATCAAAATGTTCAGTAATCGTAGTTAGGCACCATTCAGTACTTCTGGTCTCATGGCAAAGGAAGCAATTATTCATGGAGGCAATTAGCCACCCATTCCATACTATCCTCCTATTCCTGACTCTCCTTCTGTTGTCTCCAAGTGAATATAGAGATCAGTTGTGCCTTGGATGACTGCAAGCTTTTAAGTTAAGAGAACTACACAGAGAACTAGAAGGTAGAACAGAAGCATTAAACAAGTTATTAGGCCAGTTAATTGGGATGTCCCAAGAATCATGACCCTAAACCTCCAAACCAAGGATCCAGATCCCATGAGGTGTTTGGTTGTACTTGAGCAGCCTCACCCGCTATTCTTTTTCTTGTCATTGTTATAAATATATCTATAGCACAGCTTTGGGCACCTCAGCTTTTTACAAGTGTAGAACTTATTGACAGCAATTACAATAATTGGCTCTGAGAACATAACCTTTATCAACGTGATTTTTCCATCACTGTTAATAAGCTACTAATAAACTTGTTTTCTGTACATTTGCCTTTTCTTGTCTTTTATATAAGTGAGGTCATACAATATTTTTGTTTTTGTGTTTTATTTCACTCAGCATAGTGTCTTCAAGTTCTGTCCATACTCTAACATGTATCAAAATTTTATTTCTCTTACTGACTGAGTAGTAGTCAGTTGTATACATGTACCATCTTTTGTTTTTCCATTTGCCTATTGATGAGCATTTATTTCCACCTTTAGGCTATTGTGAATAGTGCTGCAATGAATATTGGTGTACAAGTCTCTGCTTTCAAGATTTTTGGGTATATATCTCTGGTAGCATAGTGGTTAAAGCATTCAGCTGTTAATCAAAAGGTTAATGGTTTGAACCTTCCGGCAGCTCCATAGGAGAAAGATGAAGCAGTCTGTGTCCATAAAGATTAACAGCCATGGAAACCCTAGGGACAGTTCTACTCTGTCCTAAAGAGTCATGATGAGTCAGAATTGACTCAGTGGCAGTGTGGTTTTTTTTTTTTTTTTTTTGGTATGGTAGTTCTATTTTTACATTTTAGTGGAACCATCATGCTATTTTCTACAATGGCTGTACTGTTTTGCATTCCTGCCAACAATGGATAAGGGTTCCAATATTCTCACAACCTTGTGAACATGTTTTTTTCCCCCCATCTTAGCCATTCTATTGGGAATGAAATTGTGTATCATTATGGTTTTGATTTGCATCTCTTTGATGGGTAATGACCCTAAGCATCTTTTCTTGTGTTTGGTGGCCATTTGAATGTCCTCTTTGGTAAAATGTCTTTGTAAGTCCTTTGTCCATTTTATGATTGAGTTGTCTTTTTGTTATGTTGTCAACATTGTGTATAAAGCTTCCTTTTTATATTTGATTTTATAATATCTTTTTTTTTTAAGCAAAACTTTTTAAAGTGTTTAATTATAAAAATCATGTTTGTGGATTGTTGTATTCCAACAATACAGAGCTGGAACCCACTTCTCTATTACATCCCCACTGCCCAGAGAGACTCATTGAGGACAGTCCATGTATTCTTCCTCCCTGGTGGGCTATCATAGGAGCTCTGGTAGCGTAGTGCCTAAGGCACTTCCTTGACTGCTAATCAGAAGGCTGGCAGTTCAAACCCACCAGCCACTTCTCAGAAGGAAGGTTGGACAATCTCCTTCCATAGTGATACTGCCTCGGAAACCCAAGGCAAGGTTGCTATAAGTCTGGTCCGACTTGACAGCATATAACAACAACAACAACAACAACAGTGGGCCATCATAGCCCTTCCTATTAAGTGTCATCCTTCAGTTTCCTCCCTTTCATTTCAGTAGTTTGATTCTCTCCTAGTGTCGTGCATATTCTCCTGTTTTTTCCAGTCTGTATGTCTATCTTGTACCCTCTTCTCAAGCACAGTGGAGACTTGACCCTTTGTTAAAAACCTTTAGTAGTGCCCTATACTGCTTAGCATTGAAGCTCTCCCTCATTGGGTCTCAGCCATATCAGGCAATTCATTTTTATTTATAACTTAAAAATACAGTCAGTGCTAAATCATCCTTGTTAATGCTCAAACAGGTAATGAGAACTGATGTGCTCTTGCTAGTCTGGGTTCTGGTCACATTCTGTGTAATGGAGACCTGGGCCTACCCAAGTAAAGTGTGGTGTACAGCCTCCTGATGTGTTCACCAGCACTGGCCCTGTTGACAAAGATCTGGGTTAACTTTTGGGAGTAGCCCATTTGGGCTTCAGCACTGAGCCCTTTGTTTTCTCTCTCATTGGGTCTCTAGATGAGTGGCCACCGTACCTTCTGCTGCTTTCTGCTATGTCTGCTGGATGCCTTCTGTCCTCAGCATTTGTCTGTTTGGGTTTTCATTGCCTCCTCTGCTCTTCAGAGGCTCCTTGCCGTCTTCTTCCTCTCACTCTGCTCACCTGCTAAAGCCTATCTTCTTTTTTTGTTCAACTGAACACCACACCTTTTTGGTTGTCTCTTCATCCCTTCAACTTGTCCAGCAAGTA